CAAATGTTATTACAAAATTGATAACTAGATGAAGGTTATTATATGGAGCTGACCAAGCATCTTAATTATAATTTAGTGTACAAGTAATTTATAATAAAAATTTACTGCATCTATAAAATAAGTAATGCATAAAGAAATAATAATTTAATTCAAAGGCTTCTTTTTATGAACAAACCCGCCAATATATCAAGAAATGAAGAAAAGGACTGAAATACACATTGCCAAAATTTTAATGGAATTAGGTGTCTCTAGTTTTAAATATCACTCACTGCCCTAATATGAAAAATTACCTAAATCAGAGAGTTAATGAACCTTTCTGTACCTATGTATGCTAAGTAGGCCAGCTAATTCATTTCTGAAGGGAAAACAATCTTGTGTTTTGACAGCAGAGGTGATAATGTCCCTCATTATGCAAATAGGATGGACCTTTATTAAAGTGTTATTTGATATATGAGACATGTCAGCTACTTTAAATCTAAAATTTTTAACCTTATTCTTTAAGAATATAGATTGGTGCAAGCATTACTCAAGATGCTTGAAGTAAATAGGAGTGCACTTTCCCTCATTTTATTTCAGTGTAAATTCTAAAACATTCTGATGAAATATTTATAACTAGCAAACACGTACATCTTTCCTCACAAAAATTCTTGCACCAAAAGCCAAGTTATATAGCACAGAATAATAGGGACAGATGATAATTTAAGAATGTTTTGAAAAATATTTTCAGTTTTAGTAATGCACTGATACTAGCTCCCTGAAATTTTCAATACTGCTTCTATAGCAAAACTAAGGACAGTTAGATGGAATGTATAAAAACTCGTAACGCAGTACACATTCCATATTTCACAAAATGTCATAAATCACACAATTAATTTCTATTATGCAAAGTATTTTAGCAATAAAAGACTTGATAGAAATAGAAGAAAATACAGAAATTATGTTCAATCTAGTATGAAAGTAAAAGATGCAAATTTTTTCCCTTTTTAATCTTGGTTTACTGTATTTTTATATTTATGTATTTTGTTCAGAACAGTGTTGATTTAAATGCAGAAGAGAAAAAAAACCTGAACACGATTAATTGAAAATTATTTTTAAAGTTTTTATGTTAGATTAATAATGTAGTAAAAACATTGCCTTGGAAATAAAAAATTAGTAATTTTAAAACTGAGGCTGGTGTTTACTTATTTATTTTGAGCTTGTAGTCTCACAGACAACCTGATAAATGCTCACATTATGTTACGTAACACTAAGCCGATGTCCTGGCCACTTAATCCATTATTTGGCTCTGATTCAAAGCTACTGAGGTAGAAAAGCTAGACCTCACTCATTCCGATCTTCAATTTTCTCTTGATTTTCTTTGCATCCATTAAACTTTAGGCTGCTCAAGTGTTTTATTGCTTTAAGAAAAAAAAGAATTAACAAATAGGTAGTCAGTCTGAGTCTTCTAACTAGCCACTGCGGTTACAATTTGGGCAAAACAAATTTTCAAGTATATACTTATTATCTTTCTGTACATGAAGGCCTTTCTGTATTATTTGCCAGTCATATTTATATATGCCTAAATCATTACTGCAATGCAGAACACGGAACATGGAACAATTTACGTTGCCAACACAGTGAAGTGTAAAGGCTGCAAGATTTTTTTTCTGCTTTTTACTTCTTTGAAAACAGTTCAACTTTTCATTGCTTAAAAAGACACAAAGGCACTTGATCAGATTTACGACAAAAAATGAATGTCCAGAACCTTGAAATAAATTAAGTTGATTAAATGTATTCATAAAACCTTTTTTTTTCCAAACAAGGTTAGGAGACGGTCTTATCTGATATTCAGTGTTGACAAACAAACCCAGCCTATTTTTAGAAGCAGCTTTAAATTTCCTCGGACTGGGTTTCTTTCCTGTTTTTCCCATAGTCTTACCTCCGATACAAAGAGCAAGTTAGGATGGTGTTTCCCATGCACGTGCAGGACCCAAAGGAGTCTAGCGGGCTTTCTCTGTAACCGTAAGCCACTACGCTAAATCCAGCGCAAACGCACATGGGACAATTTCCCTGCCTTTCATGCACTACGCCTGCCCAAGCTCCTGCTCCCTGCAAGGTGGAAGGTCGGGGTGGACAGGTCAGAGCAGGTTAGCAAGGATGAGAGCTGCTCTGCGGGTCGAGGTGCTGGTGCTGAGAGAGTTCGGAAAAATCACTGAACGCGGACAAAATCTACAGGAAGGACAAAAATCTCAGTGGAGGAGCAATGCGTTGCGTCCCTCCCACACGCTTATCAGTTCCACATTTAAGACCAGTCTTCAAACAACAAAAGCTTTCACAGGCAGTCTAAAGTCAGAACACTTAAAATTCCTGTGAACTAAAATTATCTTGAAGTAACACATGCAACACTTGATGAGCAGAATTTTGTTCTTCGTTACCTGTAGTAATCCACTAAGTACACTAGTTTTATTTTAAGAGGAAAAATAGATGTGCCGAAAAATAAAGTCGAAGGGGAGCAAGGATGATTTGGTTATTAAATTTTACCATACAATCTGAGAGAACCTGAAGGAGAAGACAGAATGTGTCAGGCCATATGTATCCAACATACAATTTGCAAAGAAACACAATTTTCCTTCCACAGACAGCAGGTTAAGTTTTCTTGCATTGATGAAAAAGATTCCTCCCCTATTTGCTTTTTGCTTACTAGTCTAATCTCAAATATAATCTTTTCAGTTTTTCTAGCAAGTTTATTTCCTTTTTCAATAATAATATCTGCAATTTTTACTGCTACTAGAAACAAATTGGGAATGCTGTGGTATTCTCTATATCTGTCTTTTTTACACATGTATACGTACCAACACATACTGCTGCACGTGCTATTCTTAGTACGTGTTTGCCTATAGTTCTACTCATTTCATTAGTACGTACATTTGCACATGTACACATATAAAGCAGAGAGCTGGACTGATTCCAAATCAATTGGATTCAGATGAGGAAATCAAGGCATCTGATTCAAGGGCTGTAACCTTCAAAGGCTGGTAACTTCCGAGTCAAACAGAATATAAAGAACTCTGGAGACCAACAAATCCCCGTGGCTGCTTTAGGACTTCACCAGTGTTCCCAATACTTTTTGGAAGTTCTTGCAGGATTAAGGATTACATAGTAAGTATTTAAAATTCCTGTCAACTGATAAATTGCATTTCCCTAATGCCACACTGATAAAGCATATTAGCTATGAAAGTCGAAGGTACTACGAAGTTCAAACAGTACTGCAGGATTTCATTATCCAAGAGAATCTGAAAAAGAACTTAAAATAATTCCAGAAGCTTTGCTGAGGTAACTCTCCACATAAAAGAAACCTTCCAACTTAATGACATGGTTACATGCAAACAAATTGCACTTAAACACATAGTTACATGCTATGGTGTTACAGTCTTCAGCATTTTTTCTTTTTGCAAACCCAAACATTAAAAAAAAAAAAAAAAATCAGACTGCTTACAAAAAGAGGAACTTCATTTTTGGCGGGCTTCTGTTCGAGATATGATTTGGCAGAGGCAGCGGTAGCTGACAGAAGACTGATCTGAGCCTTGCGAAGGGAAACGAGCCAAGGGACAAGCGCAGCAGGTCGCTCGGCCGCTCCTGCCTTTCGCACACGCACACGCAGACGTCGGCGCGCGCGTACACGCACACACATGCACACCCGCTATCCCTCCTCTGCAACACAGAAGAATCTTGATAGAATGGCAGGAAACACGCACAGAGTGGTCAGGGAAGGATATGATGTCAGCAACCACGAACAATAAAAGGTGTAAAGGTGCTTCCTTCCCTAAACTGTTCCAGAAGTGCAAAATGGGAACCAAAACTCTCCACTTCCTTCTCCAAGCAGAACTGTCTGAATCTGCTCTGCTGCAACACCCCAGACAGAGACTTCTTTGAACAGTCACACCAGGGGCAATAAGAAGTATCAAAACAGGACAGTCAAAATATTTAATTTATAAACAAGAAGGCAGCCAGGGAAAAACTAAGTTAAAATGTGCTAAGGTTTCGCATTTTCACGGTTGCTTTACAAAAGAAACAAACTTGCCATAAAGATGTCCCTGTTCCATTAAGCAGCTTGCATCCTGAGTGGATTAATTAGGTGTAAACTAGAGAACCAAACCAAATTTTTTTTTTATTATCCTGACGTAAGGATTCTCTTACCATTCTTACCTTGATAAATAAAAGAAACTTCAAAGATCTATGAAATCTTTTAATGCAAGCCTTTCTGTTTACTCAGAAGAGTTTTGAATCAAATTCTAAATGAAAATCTAAATGTACTGAGTAAGAATACATCAGCTACTCTTCTGATGAAAAACTAGCTGCAAAAACTGCAACATAACCATGAAAACCCACCGCAGGGAACACATATGCGAATAAAATGATCACTGAAATATTTTCTGTAAAAGCCCTGGCTAATTATGTTCCACATACAGACAAAGGCAGTGAAGGAACAGCTGGGTATACTGCATCAAATAACAACACCGACCGTTTTGGATCCGTCACCTTGAGCTGGATAAAGTTGAAAGAAATACAGAAAAGGGTGAAAGTAGCCCTCATCTTTCATGTCATCCAACAGACATCAGCTGACATTAAAGATAGAAGCGGTCCTTCACATTCGATGTGGTTTGGTTGCACAGTCATTACAGAAGACACAGTTTAGGCCATTAACAGAAAGGTTATGATAAAATTATGTATGTCATCACCACGGCAATACATGCGTGAAGCAGAAATGGCACCATCTACAGTATGGCTATCCAGGCAGAAAGCCATGCAACAAATGAATCTGAGTCATCTTCAGGTTTCAAACATCTGTCCACAACACCCTGATTTAGAAATTAAACATAACCTACATTTATGTGTTCTGATTTTATGGCCAGGCTGCCACATGAAAAGATTGGAAGTGAGTTAATTTTAATCTACTAAATTTAACTCTGAAGATACCATGCATTTTG